AATTCCCCAGCCAGCAAGGCTGGCTGGGGAATTCTGGGAGTTGAAGTCCACACATCTTCAAGTCGCCAAGGTTGAGAAACACTGGGTTAGAGACTGCCAACAGGGACAATCAATTTCATGCTGGTATAGTTTTCCGCCGCCTCAAAGACGGAAAACACCATCTCAATTCCCTCCACCTTTGCTTTTCCATCTTTCTGGCACCTTCCCTTTTGGAAATCCAAACAGACTTTAATCGGCAGAGTTAAATCTCTGCAAGCCAGCATTCTCAGCTTGGAAACGTGGACTGGTTGTGTTTTAACTCAGTCTGTTTTATGGAGGGGAGTTTTAAGGCGACGTTCTCTTTATTACGCCTCTGCCTCTACTCCATTTTCACTCCCAAAGGACTCGTGGTGGCTAATATTCTCATGGTACCTTTGTACTGTAATTTAATCTACATTTTACGTGTCGGAGCTGGCCCAATCTTGAAAGGAGTCATTCCAATCTCTGTTCTGGGACTGGAGCAGCCCGTTGGAGGCCCAGCCCGTTTCCCATTGACTCAAAAGGGTTTGTTTCAAGGTAGGACCCTTTCAGGTGCCTCCAACTACTTTTCTAAGCTAGAACATTTTGATGGGAAAACATGGGCACGCTTCTACTCCTGAGTAACCAGTTTTCCTGAGTGCTGGTGTGTATTACCACTTACTATTTTTCTTAGCTTGGTGCTGATCTCCATTACCCTTCGTACACACTTCCTCCCTCTTCTTCTTCTTCAAATATAATTTTATTATACGAAACAAAGGATAAAAACGAACAAGAACTAATATAAAGCGAAAAGAAAAGAAAGAGAAGAAAAAGCCAGAAGTGCAAAAAGAAAAAGTAGAAAGAAATAGAAAGTAGCTTCCAATTTTCTTTACTGCAATTGCAAGTACAAATACAAAATTACCTCTTACTCTACGGTTGCAAAAACAAACCCTCTTTTTTCTATTATCTATTTTTTTCTAATCATCAAAACTGTAAGTCATAAGTTCATTTTTTTCCTGTTTCATGCAAAAAGTCTATAAGGGGCTTCCAATTAGTAAAGCTCCTCACTCTTCTGAGACTGGTTTCCATCACCCTGTTCTCCTCTGGACAGGACGGTCTGCAGGGCATGGTCAAAAAAGTCAAATTGGCAGCCATGCTGGTGCAAGTGAAACTCTGACTATTCACATATTTTCCTGTTTGGTTTGGAAAGCCAGGCTGAGCCAGATAGCAAATTTAGGAATGAAGCTTTTAATACAGGTAGTCCTTGTTCAGCAGCTGTCTCATTTAGCAACCGTTCACAGTTACGATGGTGATGAAAAAGTAACTTTACCACCAATCCTCGCCTTTATGACCTTCTCAGGTCTGCAAAGCAAAGCAAAGCTGAAATAAGATCATAAGCCCAGTTGTGGTTTCACTTAACAACTGCTTCACTTAACAACTGAGTTGCCAGTCCCAATTGTGGTCACTAAACAAGGACTATCTGTAGTCAATGTAGCTATTTATTGCCTTTCACAGCAAACCAAAGTCAATGGATGTGTCCACTCATCCCACTAAGCCATGCTTTTCTTTAACCATGGTTTACTGAATAAGCTGTAATTGGCTAGGTTTACCCATTAGTAAACCTAGTACTAATTAGGTTTCCGATAAATCTAGGTTTCCGATCTGCAGTGGCTGGCTTCGCACAATATGCAAAGCAACAAGCTAGCAAACCACACTGTGAAGCGTCCCTCTTGCCTGAGTACGTTCTCCAAAGCAAGATTATACAAATGCTCCAGGGCTGGTTCATATATTGCACGAAGCCATGGTCTGTTTGAACCGTGGCTTAGTGAATTAGCTACAGGGGCTGAGTTTATGGGAAGCCATAAATTATGCTTTGTAGTCATTGTGTCTGAATTCACATGTTGTATGAAATCAAGGGACAAGCAAACTATTTGATGACCAAAAATCCCCTTAATGCTCTTGGAGGGACTGAGGGCCTTAAAGTGGAAAGGGACCCATTGCATACATGAGTCAGGATCAGTTTTGGAAGGAGATGTGGGGAACTTCTTTAAAAAAACAAACAAACCCTCGTGATATGCCTACTTTACAGGAGTTACGCTGCAACTTCCTTCCTTCCTTCCTTCCTTCCTTCCTTCCTTCCTTCCTTCCTTCCTTCCTTCCTTCCTTCCTTCCTTTAAACAAGCACAAAAGAGAACACAAGAAAAAGATGAAAGAATATAGTGCAGCTAAATAAACCAGGGATTTAAAAGCATCATGGAGGTTACAGCCATCTAAAATATTGTTATGAAAAAATGTCACATTAAGAGATTAAGAATCACTACCAAACATAAGCTAAAAATAAGTAACAAAGACCATGTGCAACACGATGCAAATCGTTGAGTGCAACTGTACGCCGTAGTAAGTTCAGTCTCCATTACTAAAAATCTATTCTGAGTTAGCCATCTTATAAAATTGAAGTGCACGTTGCAATTTTCAAGCGTTTCCTTAGGGCGTTGTTCCTCAACCTTGGGAACTTTCAGAGGTGTGGATTTCAACTCCCAGAATTCCCTGGCTGGGGAATTCTGGGAGTTGAAGTCTACCCAACTGAAAGTTGCCAAGGTTGAGAAACCCTGCCCTAACGTTATCAAAACTGAGCTGCAAAACCAGACTGCTAGATGGCAGCAAAGGGATAAGGAAAATCTTAGCTCTCTGCTTCCCTCTAGTGGTCCTCTACCTTTCTACAGCATCTACCCCCCCCCCCCCCCC